AAAAGTGAGGATTGTGGGATGAGATCACTGTTAGATTGGCTGACCTTTTAGATCTTGCTCTTGTTTCTTGAAGACGATTCAGACAAGCAGATTGAAAATTGCTGAGTCCACTAAAACAGGTTAAGCGCTCAAGAGTGTTATGAGGTATATTGACAGCTGACAAGTTGCTCTTCAGCTTGTCTTTGTATCTTAGCCATGGGCATCCTACATTCCTGTAGCCCTGATCTAAATGGTTGTATATTAGGATCTTGGTTATCCCTCATCGAACATTCTCAAGACATGACCAGTCCACCGTAACTGAGACTGTATGAGAAAAGTCTTGATTCCTCCAATATTACACCTGTTAAACAGGTCTACATTAGATGTCCTATCTTGAAGGTTAACTCCACAGATGGCACGCAAACAGCTTTTATGGAAAACATCCAGCTGGCGTATATGGTACCTGTATGGAGTTCACAACTCTGAGCCATACAAAAGGATGGCAGGGACAACAGCTCTGTAAACCCGAATTTTTGTATCCAGTTGAATATCCCTCTCATTCCACAAGCAATGGTGAAGTTTGCTGAAAGCACTGGTAGCCTTAGCAATCTGATGCATGATTTCATCATCTAAAGTTCCACTGTAGTTGACTTTGCTACCAAGATAGGTGAAAGATTTTACATAGTTCAGGACTTTGTCTTCTACTTTCAATGGTCTCTCTGGAAATTTGTAAACTGGTGGGTTTTTGTTTCTCACCACAGAATGGCTTTGGAGTAGGACAAGGTTGATGCACTACTTCACTTTTATTTATGCTATATTAAACTATCCTTTTGAGCCTTATTTGATAATGTATGTCTTTTGGGAAAGATTTCTACTCCCGCTTTTTTTGTTGTTTTTTTTATAAAATTGATCTATATCTTTCTGTTCATTAGTTTTATTCACTTGAATTTCATCTTTCTTTTCTCATAGTAATGTTGAGTGTATCTGTAGAAAATGATAAAAGCTTAATGACTATCTTTGTGTAAACAAAGTTAATCTACCAAATCGTATCTGCACTTGACAATATATTTTTTTCTACTGAATTTTTCTATACACATTTCTACACATGAACAAAATTAAACAATGCAATTACCCCCTCTACATATCAAATTGATGTCTTGTTCTTTTCTATTGATATCTTTGTCATATTTCAAGAAAACTAAGATATCGTTAAATTCTTTCTGATATTTCTTAGCATAAACAATGTAGAGTAAAGTATATTGTACATTATAATCAGATTAATACAAAGCACTAAATATGCATTTTACCAAGTTTGATTATTTGCACTGTTCAATTCTCTTTACTCTTGTTTTACTTATCAAAAATCTTGATGGATTTTACCTTTTGATGAAGCTGTAAGTAAATTTTTTTCTACTGCCCATGTTACTCTCCTTCTTTTCATGAGTTTCTATGTAAGATTTTGGTTTTATCACTGACTTCGGCTAAAGTATCAGATCCCCAACATTCATTGCTTGGAAACAAGCTACATTTGTATACTCTGTCTGTTATATTCTGAATTTTTTACTTTTCACTGATAAACCATGTAATATTTGTTTTGTAGTTAAATGCTTTGATATTTTCCAAATATTTGAACATATATATTTTTTGTTCTAAACAGTATCAACTTGTATTTGGTTTTTACTTAAAATTTTAAAGTTAATCATTTTCATTTAAGTTATAAAAGTAATTATTTCAATATTAAAAGTAGGCGTTTTATATCTTAATGCAGTGTTCTAAATATGAAATAATACAGTTTAAGCTCAAAACTTGTGACAAAAGTTTTTGTTTTCTCAGCTCAGAATAATGCTCTGCCTTCCAAACAATTCCAAAAATTAATTTACATCATTATAGTTTACCCAAGTAAATTCTTTTCTTATTTAGCTCTTAAAAAAAGGTAAAGTTAATAGAGTATTATTATTAAAATTAAAAGATTAGGCTTATAATAATTAAGCTGAAAAATCATTTTTGTATCATGTTCAGCTTTAATCTTGTAAAAATTGTCCAATTGCTTTGAGATCATTGTACCTTTTAAGGGTTTATTTTATTGCTTTTAACAAGAAATGTTTTTAGAAATTAATTTAAACTCATATTTTTCTTAAGTTTACTGATTTTGTTACCATTTTCATTTATTTTTTATTACTACTACTAAGATGAATGACAAATTCACAATTTCTAATTGTCTTCCCTCTTCAATCTATCTTGATTGTAATGCATAGAAAATGCAATAATTCTAAAGAAACAAAACAAAAACAATTCTTATTTGTATTGAAATTTTAGCAGATAAAAGTAATTGGTATCTTATGGTATTTCAATGTATTTACATCTGAGATACATATGATTATGCTAAATACTAAAATATTACAATTCATATGTCTCCTTTTGTGCTCAATTACATTTTGATTATAGATGAAAATTAAAGTTTACAATGTGTTTTTAGTTTTTTGTTGTCTTTATTTTTTTAAACCTAAAAAACTTGTATCTCTGAACCATTTTTTTTTATGCAGCTGTTAAATAAATCTACTTAATCTGTTATAGCTTACTTTTTCAGTTGAACATTTCTCAAAAGCTTTGGTTATGCTTTGTGGAAATTGAGCATGCAACATAAAAATTTTAGTTTCACTTTCAGTCTCATTTCAGAGAGTTTCAATTAAACATTGAATAAAGCATTATTCAGCATTATCTGAAATCATTTTTATAGTTGTACATCTGAGAATAATTTTATTTACTAGAAATTAAGTTACTGAAACAAAGTTCTTTTTCAGTTGGATTTTTCGCTGTCATTTACTGACCTGATTATATCAATAAATTCACTTGAGATTTTCAGAGTGAGCCAACTTGATGTTTTAAATGTTTTATCTTGCTCACTGAATTTTTAAAATCCAATTAAAATGTGAAGAAATCAATGTAATTCTATAAAGCTATGAGAAACAATTTCATAAAGATTTAACAAATCTAATGGTTGTCACCAGTATTTATTGTCACAATTTTGTTGCATTATTATAAATAATTTTTTAACTATTAAAGGAAGCACTTTCAAATTCTCACACTAATGAGAATTATCATTGAGAAAAGTTTGACAAATTTTATATAATTAATATTATTTTAAAATTTGAAAAGAAACAAAAATTTGTCTTGCTGTTAAAAAGTTGCAGCAAGGCAGTTAAGTATTAGCAAAACTGAGGAAACAGGTAGTTATCACTTCTGATCATCAGAAATTGATAAGTCATGTTTCAAGATGAGACCATGTTTCACTGAATATATTAGACTTTCTTTGAACACTTTCTACATTCACTGCACACACTTTAACTACATTGTTCACAAATTCTAATTCAATAAAGAAAACTAAATATCTGTATTAGTCGTGTGCATGAATAACTTTGAAATTTGTCTTAATTCATTGGGTTATGAACACCACTTAACATGTTTCTTCTTAACAAAGAACTTTATTGAAATGTATTCAAATATCTGCATTTTAAATAATCTATGCATTAATGATGAAAACAGTTTTGTTCAAAGCTTAATTGTATTTTTGACATTTTTCTTGTTCTTGTCTCTTGCTTGTATATCAAATATTACATAAATTATGTTTAAATATTGAATTATTTTCTCATCTTTTACATAAGTTGCATTTCTTGCAGTCAGATCATGAAAATCTTAATTTATGATATATTGTAACTATTTTTCTATGTGTTGCTTCTTTAGAGTTAATTTAAACATTGATATTGTCCATGCTGTAACTTTTTAATAACTTTTAACCTTCAGTGCCTCTTGTCATTTTAATTCAACATATTTGGTAGGAAGCTTTAAAGTTATTGACATTTGGAAAAATGTTCATGAAAGTATGTTTCAAAAAATAACAAATGTCAATAATTTATAACTCTGTTGGGATTACATGCCCAAATTTATTATATATATATATATATATATATATATATATATATATATATATATATATATATATATAATTAATTACCACCAAGTTTTAGCTGTCAAATTAGTAAATATATCCATAAATTAATATTAATAACAATGTGATTGTTTTTTGTTTTAACTAAAATGAAACTAACAAACAAAAAAAATCACTCTTTTTACAAAAGGAATTGAAAAGAAAGGTCTTCTATAATTTCCTTTTACTATTTACCCCTCCCCCCCAAAAAATGACAAGGATTGATTGATAAGTGAGATCTTCAATTTTATAAAACCTGTTTTAGACTGATAGATTAATGAAACTGGTACCAAGGCGAATTTATTTCTCTTCAAAATAACAACACTATTTTTCAACACTGTCACCGGCATATTAGTATGACATATTTTCGTAAACTTTCTGTTCGCTTTTTTTATTCCATCCATAAAGAAGATTTTTGGCTTACTTTTGATCCAATATAACCAATTTGTTCTCAACTGAAAAATGTGCGTCTTTCTGTGCTAGTGTGTCTCTTTCAATTTGGATAACAACTGGAATTCAGATGTTGCTAAATTAGGGCTGTATAGAAAGTGGAAAACACTTGGTGGGGTTCCAGCTTCTCACCATTTTCACTATTTGTTGATTGCATTGCAGCCTTGCATTGTTGAAGTGCAAAAAAAAAAAAGAAAGTTCATTCAGGCCTTATTTTGTGAATTTATTAAGTGCTGACAGGGTTTCACTACTTATATACATCTGTCCATTCCCTTTTCATGACAAAAATTCTATCACTTGTTACTGATTTCTATGTAAATTGGACATAGTGCTCATCACTAATGAACATTATTACCCAGTAAACTGACACTAAGCATGTTTGAAAAGAAACTTTATATACTGCCAAACACACGGTCAAACATGTTTCTCTCCCTGCTATTATTAAAAGACTTTAGAAGACTTTCCTTATCAATCAACTTTCATAACATATAATTACAAAAATGTCTCTTATTATTTTTATTATTTTTGCATAAATTATGAAAACTCAGCATCAAATAAACCTGAGTTTTGTCTTTCTTTTTACAAGATTGTCCCCGAGATCCCTCTTTGGTATTGATAGTCAAATGGGGAGGCGAATTGACACCAGCAGGTAAAATCCAAGCTGAAGAACTTGGAAAAGCATTCCGAACTCTTTATCCAGGGGGTCAAGGTGAGAGAATTTCAATTATAATCTCTAATGTGTGGTGGTAGCATAGTTTGTTGCTACTAAAAAAGAAACTTACTAATACTTGTCAATGACTATTTACCAGTGTACTGTATCTGTTTTATTCTGAATTAGATTCTCATTTTCAGGGGAATTTGGTGCCCCTGGTCTAGGTTTTTTGCGCCTTCATAGCACATTCCGGCATGACTTGAAAATGTATGCATCCGATGAAGGAAGAGTGCAAATGACTGCAGCTGCCTTTGCCAAGGTGATTATTAAATTATGTTATGTCTTTGTTATTTGGGTTTTGGTCATATACAGTATCAAAGGTGATATTGTTCACAAATTTTCACCTTTGCCAAGGTGATTATAAAGTTATGTTACGTCTTTGTTATTTGGTTTTCGGTCACAGGCAGTAACAGTGGGGATATTGTTCTCTGCAAATGATGTTTATGTAAATGATATTAATAACTTGCTAGAATGGGAAATCCTTTGGCTTATACAAAATAATGCCTCCTCAATATTTTACATGGTGCTTTAATTTTTGGAGAACTTAAATTTTTAATTTATTTAAAAGATTACCAATATTAAAATGTATCTTGAAATTTAAAAAAAAATATGTAAATGTTTATTTTACATTCATTGTGCTCTTATAAAAAATATACTGAACCATTTTCAAAAACTCTTAATGTCTTTTCTCTGCCTTTTTATCTAATTATCTGAATTTGGTTTTAGGGCTTGCTTGCGTTAGAAGGAGAACTGACGCCAATCCTGGTCCAGATGGTGAAGAGTGCCAATACAAATGGTTTATTGGATAGTGAGGGAGAAATGTCAAAGCACCAACAAATGTATGTGTCTGACTCTAATACTTCTATAATTTGGACAGCACAAATGTCCTGATATGAAACTAAACAAATCCAACAAATAAGAAGCAAAACAGTTGTTGGAGAATGATGAAACATTTTCTACAATCTGTGCTTGATATATTCTTATCAGAAAGTAGATAATGTATTTTCACAAACATATCTATCTCTAGAGCAACTCTTAAATCCCCCCCCCACCAACCAAAACAATTCCCCCTCCTCCCAATTCGATATCCTTCTAATCTTGGCCTTTCCTTGAAACTTAGCCTGTCACTTCTGTTGCTCTCTTAAACCTATTTGTGTTGCTCTTTCTTTTAGGATGTCAGTTTTCAAGTAAGTAGATTTCAAAAAATATTTGGCCCTCTTCTGAGATGACCTTAACCATCCTTACTTTTCTATTACTAACATTTCCTCTTAATATCCTGTGATGTAATTGCAAAGATAAACATAATTCGTTTCTATTCATCAGCTATCAATATATTCAAACAATTCTTTTGGGATTATTAAACTCTCATTTGAAATAAGAACTTGTTTCTAAGAAGAAAAAAAATATGTTTAATATGCATAATTTTTTTTTTATCAAAGAATTATTTATATTGCAGGTTTCCTTTCAAATAATGAATCCTTGATTCTGTTCAGCAAAGGACTTTCTGTCTCTTTATTTATACCTCATAATTAAGCAGACATTTTTTTCTTTATACTTGTGAACTCATATATTGTGGAATATTTAGGCAGCAGGTTATCTTTCAAACATTTTTTTATTAAAAGTGACAGCAGGATTTAACAATCTTGTTCTTTTTCTATATTTTTGGACCGCTCTCTGGAGTTAATGATTAAGACACTAGAGGAATTATATGGACTTTGTTTAGTTTCAACTGTTATAATCAGGATAAAGCTTATGTTTCTTGGAATAAATTTAGAAGGCTATTAATGAGCATGCCTGTTTTGATGTCACCAAAGTGTCTAGTTTCATAGATAAACTGGACTCAATCATAGGTTTGGATTTACTTGAAGATGGCTAGCATGTTGCTCATGTTGGATATAATTTTATTAATTTGACTTTTATTTATTATTCATAATCTATGGGTATCACTGATTTGGTACCAGATTTAAGAATGTAGGTTAGTAACTGTTTATATTTGTTTTGTATTTCTAAAGGTTTCTTTGGATTCATTTTATAGAATTGGTTATCAAACTCTGTAATAAACGTGTAAGAATGTTGGCTATTTAAGATAATCTATATTATAGTCATGAAAGCTCATAAAATACATGAATTTCTTTTCTCTTTTTTTTTTTTTTAACATTATTTTAACATAGCATATGTAGTTATTAGTAATTAGGGTAATATATTAATTTAACATGTTTATTGCCATTGGAATTTGAGAGAAAGTTAAATAATTAAGGCTGATATTTTGGATTTGCTTGGAGTTTAAATTTTATTTAAGTCTTTATTGTTTAAAATTTATTTTATATTCCAAAGTTTTTTTAGTTGAGTCTAAAGAAATCAGGTGTGCTTTTTAAAAACCTTTGGTTATACTGTAGTTTATCTCTCTCTCAAGATAATTAAAGTACTTCTGGTTGCTTGGATTTGTTTTCTTGCTGAAGTAAGGAAAATTGTTATTGAGGACAAGAAAGAATAGGATTTTCTTACTGCCATTCATTTCACTGGTAATTTTAATGATGGAATTGTTTTCAAAAACATTTTGAATTGTTGGCTTTCACAATCACTGTCCATGGGAAGGAAAAGATGCTCAGGTGACATAGATATATTTTTGTATACAAGTGTGTGTTTGGTTAAATATTTCAAAGCTTTCTTATTAATGGTGATCTTCTCATAATTTCTGATAGCTCATTAATTACTCTTAAAAGTTGAACAATTTCAGCAATGAATTCCTTATCCAAACAGAAACAAAAATATAAACTTTGGAAAGTTTTGTCCACACTTTAATAGGGCATAAAGACTCTAGTTGTCTATTTTTTGATAAAGTTGTCTAAATAAGCGACAATTCAATTTCTCACAATCTCTATTATAAGGATTTGATTTTTGTTTGTGGGTTTTTTTTTTTTTACCATAATAGCAAAAATGGCACATCATAGCAAAATATGTGTTAGTGCAAAATGGTTTCCAGTTCAATTTTCAGTTTAATAATAGTGTTGGGTCTGTATTTGTAATCATCCCAGTAATCTATATTATATGATGGGGTGCTGAAAAAATCTCAGCCAAACTCACTTCACAAAATCTGAGAAAGCATCAGAATTCACACCCCCTTTAAATCCTTTCTTTGTCAGCACCTCCTCATAATGCTTCAATTTCTCAAGAGATAGATCCTTTTATATGCCTTATTATTTCAACCAGCATGCTTGTTTCAGTTGTTTTAGCCATTTTTAGCTGTTATACTCTCCGGCACTCTTCAGGTGCCTGTTATTGAACTTGGTAACCTTCTTGATAGCCCCTTTATTCAATCCCCAAGGGTAGATTGTTCTCATTCTGCTTTCCATTCTTAAGGGATATTTCATATCAGTTAATTCTCATCATAAGAGGATAAAAACAACTGAAAGAATGTTAAGCACACACAACCTCCTCCTCCTCAGTAGACCTAGCATAGAGACAAATACCATCTGGGGACCTCTGATTAAGAAGAAAAGGACACTAATACAATTCCATCAACCTGAGTCAGTACATACATGCAAGCACTAGATTTAAATTTTTAAAATTTCTCCTCTGGATTGTCCAAGAAACATATGATTTAATGAATTGTTGGTGAAAACATATTTGATTCCCTGAGAGTTGTGAGTTTAATCACTGTTAGTACTGAAAAGTTACACTGATTTATTGAAAGAAACAGACAAACAAGACAAAAATGAAGAAGTTAATACTTACCAAATAAAGAAAGTTGAATGGGAACAATCTCCCAAAAAATTAACTTTATCAAAGGCTGGAACATGGTAATTCTGGAAAGAATAAGAAAGAACAATATAACTATTTCTGAAATAATGCATTGAAACAGAACCTTTCATGTGTCATATCATAAAAGCATGCAAGTTAAAATTTCAACCAAATATAATAATTACTGTTTCCTGTTTGAGTTCTGGGCAAAAAGCAAAATTAATAGATGGGGGTGGGGGTGATCAGAAAATTTCTTTAAAAAAAAAAAAAAAAATGTCTGTCACCATCCACCTTCTATTTGTCATTTAAGAATATTCTCTTTATATGGCCAAAGTATGAAATAAACTAGACAAAATATTCCTACTTCTTATAACAGTTGAAACTGCTGAAACTGTTCAAATTTTAAAAGAACTCCTTTATAAAGTATAATTCTCTCATACCATAAGAAACATCACCATTATCAGGAATTTCTTGTTATTTAATGTTTGAGGGAGATTTTGCTGCCTACAAAATAAAACCAATTTCAGGATTCCAATATTTTTACTTAGGCATAAGTCTGCCATTGCTGTACAGTTCTGTTCACCTCTTGTTTTATATCTCCAGGTATGAAACATTAAGTGTGCCTTTGTTCTTTCCTCCATGCCGTGTGTACAAAGGATGATATGTCTTTAATAAGTAGTGTCTGTAAGACTTACTTTGAATGTGTTTACTAATATTGTTTCTGCATGTGTTGAAAATACTGATCCATTGATAATCTAGGTGTTTTTATGCAATAATATGTGTGTGTATGTGAGTGTGGGAGTTTAAACATGGTCATTTTAATTAGGTGAATTTTTATATGGAACAATTGAAGTCCTATTATTACAATAATAAACCACTTTAAATAATAGGTCAATTTAAAATGATTTCTGTATCTGTTGAGCAAAGCAGAAGTTATTGATTTGTTCTAAATTTGTTTTGTTATGTTTAAAGCATTGAATCTAATGAGGTATTGGATATGATTGTATTGAAAGGACAGGAGAATGTATAAATTCTTTTTAGAACAAATTCTCTTGTAAAACTTAGCAAAGAATATCAGCTAGGTCACTAATTCTAATCAGATGACATTTAATGAAAAAGAATATTTCAAATTGAGAATATTTGTTTGTGTCTATTTAAAATTTGTATGAATTGAATAAAAAACTCAAACTGCACTCATGCTTATAAGCAAATGGCTAATTTTACTTGTGATCCAAAAAAAAAACAGTTAACGGATTTAGAATTTGATGGAACATTGACATGAAATTAACAATATATGATTGTTTTGTATTTTTAAATTTTGTGTGATGTAATATGTTTAATGAAGGGAATAATATGTCTTCTTTTTTAAACAATGTGAAGCAGTAAGAATTTGGTCTTTACTATTTCATTGCAATCACTTCTTTTCTATTATGTATCAGTAGAACTAAATTTATCATTTGTTGTGATTCCTTTTTAAATATCTTCATGAATTTTAGAGTAAAGGTTAATTGGTATTTGGAAATGAAAATATTGGCAAACTTTAATATTACTTCGAAAAGTTTTTATCAGTTATAATCTTTTTTAATTTTAGCTTCCAAATTTTGTTAATTAGGAATTCATCTTGAATAAATAATTTGATTTATGATCCTGTAAGTTAATGTATATATAAATCTTGTAATGTTTTTACCTGAGCAACATATTTTTTTTTTTTTTTTTTTTATGTAGATCTTTTTATATCATATTTTTTATATCAGCATTTTTTTTTCATATACCATTTTATCTAATTTTATTAGCTGAAGTACTTATCTACACTGGGTAAGAGGTCAACATTTGGATTGAAGCTGGTTATAATAACAATAAAACAATTCCTCACTTCTAATATAAGTATTATAAGTAATCCCTATTAGCATATTTGATAGTAAAACAAATGAAATATATAGCTATAAATATATATGAATTGTTTATTTTATGATCTTTGTTAGCAATTAAAATTGTTATTCAAGGTTCATTTTAATTGACACTGTTGATGGACATGAATGGAATTTTTTTTTTTGTTTACAGAAACTAAAAATTTAGAGCAATTAGGAGTCTCAGGGAA